TGAGATGTAAAATGAAAGCGCTGGGCCAGTAGGTGTGTAATAAGAATTTCCTTTTTTAAGTTCGAATTTTTTTTAGCTGTGCAGGGTGATTTTAAATTTGATTAAATGAAATACCGACACCATGCGAGAAATGGCTGCACGGATTTAGATGAAACATTTGGAATATTTTGTTAGCTTCCTGAATAAGGTTTTATAAATTTAAATTCAATGTTGGCGCCATGCGAATTTTCTAGTTTTTTTCTAATTTAAAAATTGGACTGAGGTACATTTTTAATTGAGACAATTCGCGTGGTCTGGTAAGACATTTACAGTCTTTTGAGCTGAGATCTTTCCCAATAGAGGTTAGTGGGACTCTTAAAGCATAGACAGACGGCAGCATTCATCCAGATCAATGCGTTAATTCCGAGTTAACTCGGGAATTAGCTGCAGTTGATCCGGATTGAGTCTTACAGTTGATTCCCAAAATTAAATCGGATCACGGCAATATTCGATGGCAACACTGATAAAAACGGCCGGAAATGAGTTCCTCTGTGTTATTTTTGCAAATTTTTTTGAGTGCATCGATGAGCTTTCAACACATGCGCAAAATGTGAGTTGGACGTAGCTGCTTTACATTGAATTTGTTTGAACAAGAGCAGAGTAAAAGCTCGCTGTGGTCGTCTCTGCGCCAAAGGTACCAATGACGATTTGGTTTACTCTCCATTTGATGATGTCTAGAAAGTTTTTAGCTTATTAAGCTTAAGCCTCTATCGATTTATTACACTCTTAAATAAATTTTGCACCTAAGGTTTACAAATTATGAAAATTTTTTGTTTTTGTTTTTATTCATTATGATTATTTGGCCGACTTGCTGCGGCCTTTGTTGCCTAGTTTATGGCGTAAGCCCAAAAATTCATTGAATACTGTATGCGGGTAATGAATTTTGATAAATGAATAAAGTTTTATTTGCCAACTTGGGTGCTAGCTGGTTGCGCTTGTGTAAGCAGCCAGTTGGTTTGTGTCAAATGAGATTGATAGAGGAAAACATAATAAGTAAAGAGCGCAGGGTAGACAATGTTGGATTGGAATCGAGTAGGCTAGGGAAACGAGATTGGTAAAAAGTAAGAAATGATAAGGGCAAGCAGAAAACTGGTGGGATTTTCTCGAATTTTTTAATCTAAGTATTCAAAATTCTTCTGACTTCTTAATTCTTTAATGAGGTTGCAAACCTTATTAATTCAACAAACTTCAACCGTGAATTAAAACTTTTTGACGTATATTATTAGATAATAAACGTCATTCAAGATTGAGTGGAGGCAACGTATGTGCAAAGAAACGACCCTGTAGGTAAGCATGTGTCGGAAAAAACGATCAGTCCAGCGCCTTCGTCTTGACCTGTGGGCTGCGTCGGAGTCACAGCCGCTAAACTAAAACGTAGAATACGTGATAATAGTAAGAGGATATTCAGGTTAAAAACTGTACAGTTTTGATTTTATTCGATTGAATTTTGAACCCATTTCAAGTGCTACCCATCTTTTAGACTGGTGGCAGCCCTTTTTAATATTCTTAGTGTTTAAGATAAATGTTTCCTAATACTCCTTCGATTGACACCCATATTTTAATATTTCCTACAGTAACTTCTGTATAGTTTAAGTAATTTCAGCTTTTTAAAGATGGCAAAATATTGAATATTTAAAGTATTTTCAACAAACAATTTACATCAGGTGGCAATCCTCCTACATGTAGTTTAGAAATAAAATATCTTCAAAGCCGTTTCGATTGTTATCCATATTTAAGTAATTCATTACATTGAACTTAACTTTGTAAAGAGCTGGCAAATCTCTTTTAAATCCCCACAATCTCTTTCGTCTGACGCTCATATAGGGATACTTATTTCAATTTTCGAATCGCCTTAATTTAGTTTGAACTTGATTCTGTAAACGGGTAGCAATGCTCCTACAAGCAATTTAGAAATAAAACTCCTTCAAGACCATTTGAATTAATATCCATATTGTAGTAATTCGTTTAACCTATTGCATATATCAAATTTAACTTTGTAAACAGGTGGCAACCCTAAGAACGTTTTTTAATCTTTTTTTATCTGACACCCATATTGTGATACATATTTAAATTATCTAATTCTCTTAAATAAAGTTGAATTTAGTTTTCAGAATAAGTGGCAACTCTCCCACATGTAGTTTAAAATATACTTTTTCAAAGCCATTTTGATTGATATTCATATTGTAGTATCTCATTTTGTCTATTTCATATATTGAATTCATCTTTGTAGATAGGTGGCAACCCTCATACATATACTGAAGAAATAAAGCCTTTTCAAAACCATTTTGATCGATACCCATATTGTAATAATTTATTTAACTTATAAATATAGGCCAAGGCTTTCAAATTGATACCTCATTTTTTTTAAATCGAACTAACAGTGCAGATCTGATGATATGACAGAAAGCTTTCGCGTATTATGCATACATATGTATGTATATATGTAGGTACATACCCAGTAAGTATGTACCCAGCCAGCAAAGAAACGTAAATTTTGCCGACAGTGCAGTTTAGTTCAATTTTCCGTATCCGAAAACGCATACAAAAAACTCCTACGGTTATCATCAATTTTCGTATCCGGAAAACGTTCGAAAAAGATGATCTCATTTGAAAGTAATAATTGTATTTTATTTGCCCAAGCTGGACATTTGAAAGCACGCATGCGAAGTCGGCAGTGGCTGAGGGTGCAGAGGAGTGTGCCGCTATTTGTCAGCTTCCCGAAGGTGCCGGGCTCGAATTCCGTCGGGCGCTTCCTAATTTTATTTTATTTTTTTTTAACCATGAAGTAGTATCTGTGAAGTACAGAAGGAAAGCGTATTGAACGAAAAATTCTATCAGACTAATTTCAGAAAAAAAAGCCGAAACCTAACCGTTTCACATACTGTTGTCTGTACATACGTTTCTGCCGCACACATTAGTGGGAAAACGGATCATCAAAGTATCCGGAAATGGAATCAGTAAACGGACAAATATCTGCACTTCATCCACTTTTTTTTGCTTTTTTGGATCGGTTTTCGGATTTTTTGCCGGCTGGGTAGGTACAAAATATGCTGCGATCAGCTTATAAATATTTTCTCTCACCAGCGCAATCTGGTTTCGGTCTGCTTTTGTCTCTGACAGCACCCTAACTGCTTTTACATATGCACTTGTGTGCAAAATTATGCCGAAGTGATATATTTGAATAAAATAAACATACCTAGAAGATATCAACCAATACTTCCCACATACCAAGCGAAAGGAAAACACCTGAATTTTTGATTAAAGAAAACAAAAACAAAATCATTCGAACGGGTTTCGAACATTTTGGAAATAAAAATAAAAATAAAATTTTTTCAAAAGTTTGTTGCCTTAAAATACTCAATACATTGTTGAACTTATATAAAATTTGTACATGATAATATTTCTATTGCTCCAAAGAACCTACATATATCCCGAAAATGAAAGTTCTATCTGCAAATCATAAGTTGCTAGAGCACTGTAAAGGCTCAAAATTGATCCCAAAATAAGCCAATATTTACCGTTGTTTCTACGACAGAAACCAAATTAGTTACATACAGGAATTAATCTGTCGATAGGTTTGGAACTTTATCTTTGAAACTCCAGACTTTTCTTTGAAATCGCCAAATTAGCTCTCGTGCAACAAGCGTCTTCGTGAAGCTCAAAAAATTACAACTACAATATTTGAGCATAGCCTCTATATCGAAACGTAAGACGTATTCTGCGTCAAAAAGTGGCACCACTTAATCACGTACCTTACATACTCTTACGAACCAATTATAAAAACAACAAAACAAAATGCTCCATAAACCGTATATATGTACATAATTTTTCTATAAGCCGATCATTCCATATTTTTTTTTTGTTTTTTTTTTGATGAAAAAATTCAAACTTTAACAGGGAAAAAAATAAAAAATACCGAGTTTCAAGTAAACTTTGTAATTTTGTATGAAAACCTGTGCCTTTACAAAAAAATGAAGCTACCATTGAAGAAACTCGATGGATAAAACAGAAGGCAATGAGTGGTCAAATGAATTTTTTCTTTGAAATATGAGTAGAAAATAGTTTTACTCAGGTGTACATGGCGTATGAGTACATCCTTACCTGCTCATTTAGACTCGTATACAAAAATTTAAATTCTCTTTACTTACTTTATACTAATATCAAAATACGCATCAAAATAGCAAAATGTACAAACAGCCACACCAACAGAACTCATTTTATGATGCATAGCTGCACGCCAACATATTCTGTGAAATAATAAGTTAGCGCCCTCAGCATATTTTTTCTCCTTACTAAGCATAAAAAAAATTTCAGTAAAAAATTAAGTAATTTATATTATTATTGTCGCAGTTGTCACAGCAGCCGTATCAGCGTTGCAATATTGCAGCTTTCAGTTGATTTTTAATGTTTCATGAATAACAATTTCATCATATTTGCTGCCAGTCTTGGCCGCGCGCTTTAGTACGTAGAAGCGATGGGAAATATGAATGACAGGAAACAGAGTTGCAACGAATGAAAGGATTTTTGAATCATAGCACTTTGTGCTTTAAACTTTTTCTTTTTTTTTTTATGGTTTTCAGCTGCGACTGCTTATGCATTCTATTGCATTTCCTTTTATATACTCTGGCGTTTATGTCGCACTTATTGCCCCAGACTCCCCGGCTGACGTTTGAAATGAAATGTTACTAAGCGTAAAAAAGTGGCAAAAAGGCGATATTAAGTACATACATATTTCTCTCGAACGAGGGGCTTCTTTTTACACGCTATGTATGATTTTGTGGTTGACTGTTTAAGCTGAGAGTGTAGATTTTTTAAAGGAGTGTGTGCAGAATTTTGACTCAAACGATACAATAAGTAGCAAATGATCTCAGCATGTAAAATGGGTTAAAAGCTTTCAAGAAATTCTTGGCAAAATTTCTAGGAATCTTTCAATTAAAAGTGCAACAACTGTTAGTACTTACTTGTTTTCTAGGGCGCTATGGCCACAAGTTTGCCTCGAATTGTTTGAATTATTGCTGAAATTAAAAAAAAAAACACACAATTTTATTACTAAAAAATTTTTGCATAAGCGTTGTTGTTTGATAAAAATCGACTATTTAAAATAGTTTAAAAAAAAAGTCACCAACTATTTATTTATTTTTTTCATTATATTTAAAGGTTCAAGCTAACAAATCGATAATTTGTTTGTTCGAAACCAGTTATTCCCATTGCAATCAATAAGTTTGCAAAATGTCATGGAAAACTCTCTTCAAAATTATTACATAAATATTTAATGTGCTTTGCGCGATATTACTCAAGCCGGCGTGGCGAGCTGAGAGCGTAATTCAGTCACTTGTTATCTTAGATACCAGCACATTAGGGCGGGCCATTTCTTTTTTTTTTTTGTTGGCTATGCTCGTATAATATAAGAAAATTCTACGTACGTATAATCCTAACCAAATTTGCCGAAGACACCAATGGGCAAACTCAAAATTGATTTTAGACGGAATAGTCGAGAATAGTCGCAAAAATCTCCCATAAAAATTGACCCGCCCTAATGTTCAAACATATATTAGACCGTGCCACCTTAAAAGCAAAAAGTTTGCCGTACACCTCTTAGTCTACAATATTTTTGTATGGCTATTTCGAAAGAAAAAAAAAATTTTTTTTTGCCCGAACCTATGGCTCGCCTTTTTGCATATTTCGGTGACACGTTTGGCAATATTTTTATATTTCTTTTCAAAAATAGTTCTACTGGAATAATCGAAATACTTCTAAAAATTAATAATTTTTGATGAGTTTTAATTAGTGATATTAGGGTGGTAGTTCGCTAAGCTGATCAGCAATGAAATCTGTTGGGTAAGTACTAGAACGGGGTACTTGAGGTCTATGAATTTTGGAACAAAAAAATTTTCTCTTCCAGACAAGAATATCGATATATGAATCATACTTGACGAAAAATGTAAAAGGCGGCTATTTTCACTTGCCTTTTTTTTTTTGCACCACCCTCATGTATATTACACATAACAAATGACACATGTCTGTTATGGCTATTACTCACACAATTACTGCGTGCGCTGTAGTGCGACTGAATGTATACATACTTACTTGCTAGCAGCTGTCAAGTGTAATTTGTTTTTGCATATTTACTAGCTAGTTTACATACATACATAAAATGTGAGGCGTTAGAGGGAAACGTAAGCAAATGCATTTAGCAATCAAAAAGAGACAAATGAAATTGTTGGTAATTTACATTTGTTAGAAGCCAAGTGGATTTATTGACTGGCGACTGGGAAGAATTTAAAATGTTAAATCATACAAATTTTTATTTTATTGTAATAACAGATAATTTTTATATAACGATAAGAAGTTGGCATACTAAAGACTCGACTTTTATTATCAAATGTTTGGTAATCCTTAAAAAAAAATTCATTCTCCGCCATATCTGTATTCCAAATAAATCCTTTTTAAAGCAGAAAGAGGCATATTTTTATAACTCAACAGATTGAGCCCAGTCTTCTGAGACAGACTTGATGCCTACTCAGCTTACAGTGCTACTTGCACCCACAGAAAAGGTTTTGAAATGTCAACTAGGAATTCGATAATTGGTTCTAAAATTTACGCGCTAGATTCCGCTAGTGTAGGGTATAGAAAAGCCCCTACGACTACGTCAAAATATTTAATTTGGAGAACAAGGAAAACTTATAATATCCCACATTCTGGAGCAGAAACCTTTTGATTTTTTTTCTTTGTTTACGAAATTGGATTATTCCTTAGTGAAATATTTTTGCCACAGCGAAAAAAAACCTTATTCGGTTAGCGGTAGTAAAATAAAAAAAAATAAAAATATCATACACGGTGTAATAAGTGCGAAAGTCAATTTTACATACGAAAAAATCAATATATTCCCAAAACTGGGGGCCAAATATTGTAAAACCGCGTTTTTCGTTTTGCTCTCTGACGTCAGGATATTTTTTAAAAGGACTTCGAAATTTCTAAAATATAATTGTATAAAAAAATTATTCAAAAGATTCGGTTAATTAAAAGAAAAAATTCTGTAGAATAGGAAAGAAACGTTTAACTTTTGGGTGCACCAGGACAAGCAATTATTGAAAATGTCCTTTTAAAACTTTATCCTTTAATATCCTGGGAAGTTTCCAGTATTTATTTTTGAAAAAAATATGTGCCAAGGACTAAAATGTTAACTACCACGTCCTCGAATTTCGTCCTTCTAACTTTATTAGTTTTAGATAAACGAATTTTACACTTCTCTTTGTAACTTATTGATAGTTACAATATACATAAATGAAGATACTGGAATCATTATTATGGGACCATCTATGAGCTCTAAAAGAACAAATTGACCGTATGATGTACGGTTTAAATATTTTAATTTTTTTTGTGTACAAGGGCGTAGCCAGCCTTTCACCTAGGGGGACAGGAGTTTATATAGAGGGAAAAAGTAATTTTAATTAAATTTTTTTTCTTTGTGTATATAAATATAAATTTTCGGGACTAAGAAAGTATAAGTTTTTTGGTAGCCTTTACAACAATTTTTTAGAAATCGGTTTGTAATTTTTTCTGTTTAAAATTTTTTTTTTTTTTTTTTATAAAAAAAGGTATTTTTTGCTTTTAAGTGTTGTTTCTCAAAATTTTATATACGAAGTATTCAGATATGGTATGCACCAGAAGATAGGGTATTCAATCGCCTTTACAACGATGTGCCAAATTTTGGTTAGTAATTTTATTCTTAATTTTTTTTATAAAAAAGGTATTTTTTAATTTTGAGTGTTTTTTTTTTTTAATTTTTATAATCGAAGTATACAAATACGCATATCAGAAGAAGGAAGGTTTGATTGTGTTTACAACGATATCAACTTTTTGAAAATTGATTAGTAATTTTTTTGTTTAAAATATTTTTTTTTTATAAAAAAATCACGTTTACAACGATACCAACTTTTTAAAAATCAAAATTCAATATTACTTTAAAAACAAGTGAACATCAACTAGAGCAAATATTTGATCGAAATGGGTAAATCGAACTTTTTTATATTTTTGCATTCTATTTACATACATACATGCATGTACGCACATACATAGCTGCATTTTTGCACTCAACATATGTTTTATTCATTGCATTCGGTGGTGTTTGCACGCGTGTTGCGGCACAAATATTTAATATTTTTGCAAAAAAATTTTGCAAATATTTAATATTTTTGCAAAAATCTATAGTAAATTCTTTGTGTTTGTACGAATTCGCATTAATTTCATTTATACATTTTTTTCCCCCCGTTTTGTTTGCTGTTGCGCTCCTTACGGCTTTCTGCGCTTAATATACAAATAAATTGAAAGCTTTAGTTCCGACAGCTAACATAAAAAATGCATATTCCGTCCAAAGCTGCCATTTTATTCTCGAATTGTGTTCGTTTGCATGTTAGTGTGTGTGTGTGTGTGTGTGTGTAACTGTGAAAAAGGAGCGGAGTAGATAGATACTCATACGTATGTGTATATGCATTACTATATCCAGCCTTGCATGCATTTAGCAGATTTATTTTATTGTTATTCGTTCGATTTTTGGCGCGCCGACATCGCAGGTCGCACACAACCGGAAGTTGTTTATCATACAGCGTCCAGTGTGTAAATGTTATGAAACACAGCGGCGTGCAAATTCAAGGTGGGGTAAAAATAAGCGAAACACAACAAGAAATAGATAACAATCGTCTCCGCTTTGGAGCCAATTGCAATACTTAAAAATTTAGGTGGTAGGCCAAATGACAAAATGGAAACTTTTCGGGGTTCTAATAAAGCCAAGAAAGTGAAGGATATACATATGTATGTATGTATGTATGTATGTATGTATGCAAATTGTACAAATATTATTGATGCAATAAATTTGTAAAACGCCTTACAGTTCAAGGAAACGGGATATTACTGCAAATGTTCCAAGAAATTTTGCGCTAAGGAAAATTTCGAAATCGATCCCGACTTTCCATACTTCCTTCCAAAGCTAATCGAAAGTCCCTTGCGGCTTCTGCTCTTAATATTAATTTTTATTTTTTATTTTGCCCTTAAATATTTTCTCAGTGTACTCCTGCTAATACACCGCAATATCCATTTATAGGCACAACAAGCTTTTTTATTTATTTTTTTTTTATTTTTTCGCTTTACCTTCGTTATTCCTTGCTGGCGTGCGCATATGAAATAAATTGAAAAACCGCGAAACAAAAATACACAAAAATAAAAAACAACAATTGGTGTGGGTATAAATATAACAGAAAATCGGAAATCGAAAAATACCAAACGAACCTCCCATCATCATACGCGTCCTGCAATTTTTTCCAACAATTTTCTCAAATAGACGGCGCTAAATTCCCCAAAGGCAGTGTGTGTGTGTATATATATATATATATATACATGCATATACAATTTATGTGTGGATATAACGCTCGGTTGGCGTTGTTATTGAATAATATTTACGGACACAGTTTTTCATTTACGCTTTAGCTTCAACGGTATTATTTTCAATTGATTTTGCATTTCCAACTGGCTGAGATTGCGTATAGTGAGTATCGAAAAAATATGTTAAGTCAATAATTATGATGAGTGTTAATTTCAAAAGATATCAATAATAACAGATTTCATTAAATTAAAATTAAATAAAGTCATGTATGTATATTTATTATTCAAAGCTTTGAAATCGCAGTGAAAAATTCATTTTTTTTTATCACAATTGAATCAGGAAGTGGTAGAGCTGTAATATCTCATTTAAAGGTGACTTAATTTTAGCCGAAGAGGTGAAGGGGGACGGGAAAAGCAGAATGCAATGTATGTATTTAGATAGAATTTTATTGAAGTTAAAAAGTGGCCGGCTGTGGTCTGCATTCTGAAAGTCATACAAAGCTCTAATGAGAACTATGTACATATTTCTATTTTCCATAAAAAACGGCCTCACATACTTAAGGACAAGCATGCCTTCAAGTAAAAATTCGAGAAAAAATTTAAATTAACTTAAAAAAAACAACAACCCCAATAATCT